AGGGAGAAGGGCGGGGGAAAAAAAAAAGGCAGAGGACATTAAAGGCCCAAGGTAAAAACCTCCTTAAGAGGACCGAAGAGCTTGATGCCACAGTTGTTTTATAGTTTTAAGGCTGATATTGGAACGTGGAGATAATGACTATTTGTTGATGATCTAATATGTGCTCTAGATACATTATTTATTTTAATCCTCACAATAACTTTGCTGAGGTAAGAAAGAGTTCATAGGGGCTGAGAAAAAATGCCCAAAGTCATAAAGCTAAGTAAGTCGTGGCTGTTGGAATAGTAACAACAGATAGCATTGTTTTGGGCATTTACTTGTGCCACAGTTCTAAGTGCTTCACAGGATTTAACTCACTTAATCCTCAATATAACCTTGTGAGTTAGGTACTATGCCCCATTCTACAGATGGGGAAACTGAGGCACAGAAAGAAATGTGGGTCACACAATAGGCAGTTAAACAAAGGCAGGCAGTCCAATTCCAGTCAATGTTCTTAGTCACCGTATCAGACTGGATTTGAGCTGTCTGTCTAACTGCAAAATTTATGCACTTTTTCCTACCCCATATTATGGCCTGGTAAAAGTAACTTGCTCTACCACCTATAAATGGATTAAATTCTATTCAGGGACATCTCACTTCTAAGGCCAAGCCATGGGGAATCTGAGGTATGCCACAGCTGTTAACTCCCTGCATCCCCAGCCCACACCTGAATCACCCATCTAGGGAGAGAAGCCCAGTTCCCTGGGGCTGGGGAAGTCCACGGTCTGAGATCCACTTTCATGCTGATGCCTCAGATGCAAGAGGCACCTGGAGACAAGGCCTGGAGAGAGCCAGTGGGTGTATTCTTGGATGGCTCGGGTCTGACCCAACTTGTTGGGTTTCTGGGTCCCCACAAGAGGTCCAGTCCAATTATGTGGGCCGGGAAACAGGCATATTAAAATCTACAGTTTTCACAGACTGAACGTCTGGAGCCTCGATAAGAAACACTGCCTTCTGCTCCCCAACCCAGCCCATGAAAACCTGTTCCCCTCATCCAGCCCTGCATTTCTCCACCGGCCTCAGACCAGCAGGAGAACAATCCTTGTCTGAAAACCCACAGTCCACACCCGAGGTTCACAGGATTTTGGTTTCCATACAATGCCGGCAGCTACCCGGTCATTTGAGATCATGTGTCCAAGAGGCTGTCCAGAGAGGAAGCCCCAACCACCCCACACACACATCTCCGGGCGTCCAAGAACCCCACGACGTGTAGCAGTTTGGTTCCCGTGGTAACTCCTTAGCACGCCGTGTCATGCTTCCGTGTCGTCACGGGGCCACTTCCCAGAGGGTGGCATAGTCGGACCGAGGTTGCAGTGACTGGGGCGCCACTGAGGCCACTGGCGATGTCGAGCAGCCTCAGGGACCCAGCGGGGCTGAGCGGGGTGGCCTTGAGCTGGGAGACACGGGTGCAGCAGGGAAGCTGGTTCTCAGGAACCCTTGGAATATAATGATAAAGCACCAGCAGGAGCAGCAAAGGGGCCATCGCCTACAGATTATGACAAGTTTCACAGACCCTTCCATCTCCATGGACCTCCTCCTAGCTGTCTTGCAGCCTAGCATCAATGAGGAGATCCAGACTGTCTTCAACAAGTACATGAAGTTCTTCCAGGCAGCACTGAACGGGCGAGAAAATGTCGGGGAAGACGTGAATGCAGAGCAGCTGACCCAGGAGGCTTGTCGGAGCTGCCTAGAACAGGCTAAACTACTGTTTCCTGATGGAGAAAAAGTAATGCCCAGATTGATCCATGAGCTTCCAGGAATAAAGCGTGCCAGGCAGGCAGAAGAGGAATGTGCCCATCGCAAAAGCCCCATTCCCAAAAAGAGTAAGGGACAGCCTCTTGGACACATGATCTCAAATGACTGGGTAGCTGCCGGCATGGTATGGAAACCAAAATCCTGTGAACCAAATGGTAGAGAAGGCCCCAAGTGGAACCCAGCTCGAGTGAATGAATCTACCACCTTTGTCTTGGGATCTCAAGTCAACAAGGCCCTGGGGATGGGGAGCACCAGAAGGAGAATCTACAACAAGCACCCATACCTCTTTAAGTATGCAGCTGACCCCCAGGACAAGCCCTGGCTAGTTGAGCAGCATCACATGTGGTCAACAGAGGGGAAGATGGCCTGGCTCCTCATCGAGGAGGACATCCAGGACCTCACTGCCAGTGATGACTACAGAGGGTGCCTGGACCTGAAGTTAGAGGAGCTGAAGTCCTTTGTCCTACCCTCCTGGATAGTTGAGAAGATGAAAAAGTACATGGAGGCACTATGCAGAGAATGAGCATCGTGCTGTTGGAGTATCTTCACAAACCTGAAGCCCACTCCCCTCCACGGCCTTCATACCCACATGGGTGAGGCCATGGCTGGGACCGCTCCTAGATGATTTCAGCAGCATTAAGCTGTGCTTGGGCTAGTTTGTAGTGACTCACTGCAGAGCACCCCTAGACTGGCATGTAGTTATACTTTTGTAAAGGTATTGGGATAAGATAGTTTGTAAATAGTTTGTAACAAAAACACAGATGGTGAAAAAAAAAGCCTAAAAATAATTTGTTGAAAGGAGTAAAAGAAAACTTGAATAAGTGGAGAAATAGCATGCTTCTGGAAAAGAACAATAAATTTTATAAGCATCAAAAAAAAACTCCTCTCTGTGTTCCATTGTTTCTGGATGGCCCAGCAAACATAGGTTCACCAAACATTTACGCCTTTTCATCTTCCTGTGAATTGCTTTCCTTCCTTTCAAGTCCCAGACCCCCAGCCCATCCTCCTTAGTTCAGGATGACATGTTGACCTTATTTTGTCTACCTTTGGAATCTTTCATGTTTATGTGGATTCCCTATACTACATAATTAAGTTTGATTTTCTCCTGTTTATCTGTTAATGTCAATGTAATTCTTAGACCAATCAGAAGAACATCTGTTCTCTCATTCTTCCTCTTCCTGTCACGAACACACTAGAATCAGATTTTATTCCCGACCCTCCACTGAAACTGCTCTTCTCAAGACAACCATGACTTCCATGTTTTTATATCCTTCAGTAGTCCTCAGTCCTTATTTCCTTGAGCCCCTCCCCAGCACCACTGTATACAATTAAGTGTTCCCCCTTGAGACTCGTACAGGACCATACTTCCCTAGCTTTCTTCCTGTCTAACTTGAATTTTTCTCCTCAGTCTATTTTAGTGACACTTTCTCTTCTGGACCTCTAAATTTAAGATTTTCCCAGGGCTCAATGCTAGACACTTCCCTCTACACTCACTTCTTAGGTTCCTTATCCAGCCTATATAATAATACCTCTCAAATTTATATCTCTTCCTCAACTTAATCCTGAAGTCCACATATTTAGTCCTGAATCAACAAAATCAAATAAATGGAAGCCCTTTGGGAAAAATGCTTATAATATAAAATTTGGCATGCTTCTCAGATAACTGTGAAATGTCTAGATACTGATGGTCAGCATGCTGCTAGATATACAAGTCTAGAAATCAACAAGGAAGAGAGGTTATGGAATTACACATTTGGCACTTATCAACATATGGATAGTAAGTAAAGTGATGAGAGTGATGGTATTCCTGAGAAGGAATGACAGGGCATGGCCAGGAAGTTGCCAGGCCTGTGATGGCTGTACTTAAGGGATGAGCAGTGAAGAGCAGTCAGTAAAGGACTCTGAGAAGGAATAGGAATAACAGAGATATGGAGGAAAGTCTGCTGAGGGTGGTGCAATCAAAGAAAATTTCAGTCAGGTAGACATTGGTGGAATTGATAAGAGTGAAATAGATGATACCATTGATCATGCCATTGATCATGATTTTGCATATTGTGGTATGAATGCTACTGAAGCTGAAGAATTAATAACCAAAAATATCCATTTATTTTCAGCTCAGTCCCTAAGGGATGCCAGTCCTATAACCCCTCAGGCCTTGATTAATCCTCTTGTCCAATATCACTCAATTTAGCCCCATGTTCTACCTCACTGGCTTTCCTGACTTAGAAACCAAAGACTACTGGATTTTCTTCCCATTTTTCTTTATGTACCTCATGGCCATCTCAGGCAATTGTTTCATTCTGATAATTATTAAGACCGACCTTTGTCTGCACACACCCATGAATTATCTACTATCCTTTCTGGCCTTCACTGACCTGAGACTGTCAGTGTCCACCTTGCCCACTACTATGGGAATCTTTTGGTTCAACTCCCACAGTATCTACTTTGAAGGTTGCCAAATCCAAATGTTTTGCATCCACTCATTTTCCTTCATGGAGTCCCCCGTTCTCCTTGCCATGTCCTTTGACTGCTTTGTGGTCATCTGCCACCCCCTGCAGTACTCAGTCATTATCACGAGCCCATGTGTGGTCAGGGCAGGCCTGGTTGTCATCCTCCAGGGGCCTATGGCCCTTGTTCCCCTTGTCTTCCTTCTGAAGGCTTTTCCTTTTTCTTGGTTTCAAGTCCTCTCCCATTCTTTCTGCCTTCACCAGAAGGTGATACACTTGGCCTGCACAGACACCACCTTTAACAACCTGTATAGGCTGTCCGTGGTGGTGCTCACTGTGATAATGGACCAGGTGCTCATCGTGTGCTGTCCTATGGGGTCATCCTGCACACAGTGGCAAAGCTGGCTTCCCCAGAGGAGCGGCTCCAAGACTTCCCAACATGTACATCACATGTCTGTGCTGTGCTGGTGTTTTTTTTATGCCCACGGTGGGGCTTTCCCTCATGCACCACATTGGGAAGCATGCCCCACCTTCTGTCCACATTCTTATGGCCAGTGTCTACCTCTTCGTGCCTCCCATGCTTAATTCAATCATATATAGTATTAAGACCAAGGAGATCCGCCATGCCATCAGCAAGCTAGTATGTTTTAGAAAGGCCAGTGGTGAGTTGTGGAGCTAAAAATTCCACACTGAGTGCCCATAGGAAGGTCCCAAAGCAAGCCAAAGATTTACAACATTGAGAACCTATTATTACACCCTTTCTTCCCCCCAATTTTTTTCCACTGCCCTAAATAAAATTTGGATGAATTTCTTTCTTGAGTTTTGGGTTAAGAATGCTGACCTTCTCTTGCTTAAATTACAATGCCTTCTTATATATATATATATGAGACCTAGCTATTTAGGTAGTATCAGAACTGCCCAGAGGAAGACTCCCTTGAAAGTTATCATCAGTGTGGAAGAAGTAAAAGTTAAGTGAAAGTAAACAAAAACTAAAAAGGAACAATAAATAAAAAAGCACCCAGAAGAGACCTGGCAGAGAACAAACCATCGTCAGTTGTTATGAGTCACCTCAGGGAATACATCCCCTCCCACAGTGCTTTCACACTGCTTCCATCTTCTCTGCCTGGCCAGTGCCCACCTTTTTGGTAGGTTTTATTCTGGTGAAGCTGAATTCTTTGTATTGTACTCTTGGGTCACATCGAAAGAATCAAAACTCTTTTCCTCTTCCCTCATAGCTGATTCATGGAGAGGAGGAGCTCCTTCTGGTCCTGTTCATCCAGTAGAGGCCTCTGACCCCACCCCTGACTCTTCTCATCTCTGATTTTACCTTTCCTGTTAACTTGCTAACAGGAGGCTGAAGTCAGTGTTTGCTTTAGGCACTTCAGTCATGAGAATTTCCATAAAGACATGAAATGCAACAAAGTTCCAATGAAGAAAACTACCACAGACACGACTAAGTCATACTCACATTGCTCAGGAGGTTGTGAACCTAAAACTGGCAGAGAAGAGTGACTCTACTGACTAAATGAAATTCATGTTGTGGTCTCAGCATTGAAGTGCTTCCATGAGGACATTTCCTCTGACAGACTCTATGCAGCCCAGAGTGGATGTCCCATTCGTCCACCCCCTCGGAGCCTTGCATTTCTTAGTTGTAACATTTGCCGCATAGCAATGAGCTGTTTTGTCTTTTGGTTTAGCTGCTTCTTCTTTCTCCCTTCCTTCCTTCCTCTATCCCTCCCTCCCTCCCTCCCTTCCTTCCTTCCTTCCTTCCTTCCTTTGTTCCTTCTTTGATCTTTACCCTACAGTAGACATAAAAAACACATTCAATTAAAGATATAGATGTTAAAAAGGAAAACTGGTATTTAGAAGAAAATATGGGAGAATAGATAGGTAGATAGGTGGTTAGTTAGAAAGATAGACACATAATTAAAATGCAGTAAAACAGTAGACCCAGAAAACAAGGGGATAACACAAACCAGACTAGGAGAAGATATCTGCAATGTATAACTATACAGATAACTGAGATTTAGTGTCCAGAATATAAAAGAACATCTATAAATCAGTAAAAAACAATAGAGAGAATCCAATAAAAAAATTGAGTGAAGGGGCGGAGCCAGGATGGCGGCATGAGTAGAGCAGTGGAACTCTCCTCCCAAAACCACATAGAATTATGAAAATATAATAAAGACAACTCTTCCTAAAATAGAGACCAGAGGACACAGGACAACATCCAGACCACATCCACACCTGTGAGAACCCAGTGCCTCACAAAGGGGGTAAGATACAAGCCCGGCCTGGTGGGACGTGAGCGCCCCTCCCCCCAGCTCCTGGCGGGTGGAAAGAAACTGGAGCGTTTTTTTTTTCTTTTTTGGCAAGTGCTTTTTGGAAGCCTTAAAGGGACAGGGCACCAATACCAGGGAAACAGGGCAGCAAGACCGGTGAGCGGGCGCCTGAGACCGGCACCTGAGGACAAAGAAAATCGCGCATTTTTCCGTTTTTTTTTTTTTTGGCGAGTGCTTTTTGGAAGCCTTAGAGGGACAGGGACCCCAATACTATGGAAACAGGCAGCAAGACTGGTGAGTGGGTGTCTGAGAACGGCGCCTGAGGACAAAGAAAATCACGGATTTTTCCCTTTTTTTTGGCGAGTGCGTTTTGGAAGCCTTAAGGGGACAGGGACCCCAATACTAGGGAAACAGGGCAGCAAGACCGGTGAGCGGGTGCCTGAGAACAGTGCCTGAGGACAAAGAAAATCGTGCATTTTTCCCTTT